AGTGACGAATGCCACCTCGTTGCTGACGCGTCCTTTTCCCACAATATTACGACCGTCTATCTTTAGTTTTCCTAGACCTTGTTTCCCCCTCCGCTAAGCCCTCCGCAACGAAGAAGCCGCTACTGCGCCTGCGCGCCGACGGCCTTGGCTGTAGAGTTCCCGGTATCGTAGCGGCTAGCGGAGAGCGTTGCGGGACGGCCAAAACGATCTACGAAAACGCCCTATTGTTGAGCAAAAACTAAAAAGAAAGCCATTGACTGCGCAAACACGTTTATCGTGAAAACACATAGTTTATTATCGTGAAAACCCTCCAATATGGCGGATGGCATGATGATGGTAGCTGGCTTTGCGAAGAAGATTGCGTCGCCTCTTGTGAGTGAGGACGTTAAGGGCACTCGGCTGCACGTGCTGTCCTCTGGAACCATAGCCCTTCTCTGCATCGGCCTCATTTCGACCCCAAAGGTGAGGTCGGGCTGTCAACCGTTTTCGGCTCACTTTAAAGGGCGGCTCATCTTTTCGCTTGGAATCTCGCTGGAACCCATGACAGCGAATTCTTTTGTCCGCTTATGCACGCACTGGGTACACAACAGATCCCCCAAGCTCTTCCGCGTCGCGATCACCAGTTCAAGTGGTCGGCGACACAAAAGACCGTCGTCTGGTGATTTTTATGCAGTCTTTGTTCGGAGACGACTCGTCGGCGTCGTCACAATGGCGATTTTAAAGGGGAACAGCACGGAGTACGCGCGGGTATACACGCTCCATTCCTGATCGTCCCTCTCGAGTTCTGTCTCCCGAAGAGTATTCTCGTGGCGTTTTAGAAACACTAGAATTGACCATAATAAACAATAGCTTAGGGGCGAGCGAGCGGGACAGATGGAGTAAACCAGCGTGGTCTCATTACCGGAAGGGAAAAGGCGCGAAACTGCTGAATAGGGTTTGTCGATGCGTCGGCACCTTCCTCAGAAACGAACGTATTTATGCTTAGTTGCGCGACGGACAAGAAAAATATGCTGATTCACTGTGTACCTTGAGCACATTGCTCACAGCGTATCTTCGAAGCGATGGCTAACACTCATCGTCTGCCAAAAATAACGATCTGGGTGGTGTGAAATCAACGAGGTAGAGGGGCTTAGAGCGATAAATTGACAGCTGAAATCCATGTTGCACATTTTTGACCACTAGACACGTGACCTTATATTTTTACATCTAAATTTTCACGAAGTACCGCGCACAAACAATTGCTGTATTGATCTGTAATAACAGTTCCGACGGGATAAGGCATGGTTCGTTGGTTTTAAGTCAAAAACGTGCTTTAACGACAAAAACTCGGGCAGCTTCTCGATGCCTCCGCAAGATGCCGTCAGCCGCGATGCCGTAATTTGGCGTTTTATCGGAGCTAGACACTCATCTCTGGGGCTAACAGTATTGAAAACTATAGACCTTTCCAAAAAAGAGCGTATGGCCGGTGCCATTTCCAGTGTTCGTGCGTATGGCGCGTGCTTTGCTCGTTTTCCGGAACGACGCACACGCGCGTGCTGAGCTGTGGAGATCGCACGCTGAGCTGTGGATTTGTAAACACTGGAAAGGTCTATAGTTTATCATGTTTTTTTCCAGCGATCGCAATACAAATCTTGACTTAGTTTCGTTTAAAAGCCTCCGGATTTGGTACGGTCACGGTCAAAATCGTACAACATGGCGGCAGCCAGGTGGGGGTCACTTTTGCCTGCTAAACGGGATACCAGTTTATCGCTCTAATCCCCTTTAACTGGTTGTGTCCAAAAAAAAAAAAAAAAGGGCTCCTGACCGGGTCCATCTTCAGTGTATGGCGCGTGATCTGCTCGCTTTGCGAAGCGACAAACATACGCTTGCTGGGCTGAGGATATCGCACAGTGGGCTGAGGACTTGTAAATATTGGAATGGTGTAAAAACGATTGCGAGCGTGCTATCTGGTTGCTGTCATTTATCTGCTTGAGCGGGCAACTACGGGCAATACACATTTTCCGAAATTCCGTGTGGCTACCTTTGTAACTATTATCAGCTGAGTGTATATTCTCTGCATGCGAATGGCTGCTTTGACGAAGGAAAAATTTCCAGACAGGCACAGATGCGGAGCCTGAAGATTCCAGAATGTAATCCGCTGCAGTGTTTGATGTCAGCGTGACGAGATCTATACGTTTCTGTGCGCTACGCTTTTGAGGGTGTCATGGAAACCCTTGAAATGTTCGGCACGCTTCAGACAGCTCATGACAATAAAATGTGGTGAAGATTACCAAGAGGTTTACTCAACTAGTACGGAGTGATATTTTCTTGACACCATTAAAACTGAAATGAACAGAGAAAGGAAGAACGGTATAGCGAAGAACACCGTAACTTTCGTACGTTTGCCGTTGATGAATAGGTACTAAAATTTAACCGCCATTAGCATACAAAGATTAGAACTGAAATTTGGGTCACAAGAATGGCACTTATTTCCAACGCCACGTTCGCGCGCATGCTGCACATGCTCGCACGCATGTGTACCCAGGGAGGCGCCAAGCTTGCAATAGACCTAGTGACGTCACGAGAGATAACCATCGGAGGGCGCTACCCAAACAACTCGCCGCTAATGGGGTATCCACACGAAGGAGAAATCCGCCCCTTTCCTCCGCGGAGCGCGCATCACGTGAGACATACGTCATTCCTTTTTGACGCCTCGCGGCGCCGTTCTCCTCCATGGCGGAGCCGCGGAGGCTTTGTGCAGCCAGCACGAAAGCTCCGCAGATGCACGCGGCGGAGCCGGGGACGGAGTTTCCCGGGTTGTTGACGTCACGAGCTCCGTCCGCGGAGTTCTCCTTCGTGTGGATACCCCTTAATAGACAATAGACCATTTGCTATATTACCCAAGCATCAAGGAGAATGCAGGGATTGGTGTTCCACGCGCCGCACGTGCTGGCGTCAGCAGTTGTAACTTTTCTAAAGCAAAAACCTAAAACAAATTGTATCTTGCAAGCGCGTTCGTGAACGCTTTATTTTGGTTATTCGAATCTTTTATACGGGAAAGGCGTGCATGTGTTGCGCATGGAACACCGATCCCTGCATTCTCCTTCTATAGACGCCATATTTGAGTGCGTCGTACAAAGCGCATGCTCAAAACGAGCTTACATTAATAGGCTGCTAAGAGCGGCAATCTTGATGGTGTGGAATTATTTTGCAACGTGCATTCTGCCCCATCAAGATTGCTGTTCTTAGCAGGCTATTAATGTAAGCTCGTTCTGAGCGTGCACTCTAAACATCGCCGTCAAATATGGCATCCAGTAAATACCCCCATGGACCCTTTTTTTGTATGTGCAAACTCCACCAGGTGGTGCTCCAGCTCTTTGACGCGCCAGCGAACTTCCGGTTCATAAAACCAATAAACAAAGCCTACCCTACCAATGCTGCTTGAAACGTTGATGAAACTTTTAACTACCAACTCTCCAGGTGAACGCCCAAAAAAAAAAAAAAAATACAGAAGCGCGAGATCTGTTAAAATTATTAATATATTCTTGTGGTCCAACTTGCCTCCTCCAAGATGTAATGTTGTGGAGCCGAAGGCCTTCGTTAAATCTCCAGTTTTGTTGTCCGTGTCGCATTTATGGTTTCTAGCACTGGTGACCTAAGCATCTCAACAGGCTTGCAAAGACGGAGTGACTGGAAGTTGCTTGGGGACGCCAGCGGCAGGTCATGTTTGTAAACAGTAACGCGCTCAGCAGCAACGGATAGCTACGGCCAGCAGCTTCATTATATGAGCGCGTCACTCACAGCACATGCTCAGCATGAGCTTCCACTTGTATCCTTTGCCGAAAAGGGCGGTCTCGGTAATTTGGAATGCCTCCACAACGCTGCGAAAGCGTTGTCGGCGGCAGCACGCGCTCAGCACAGGCAACAGCTACGGCCACTAGTGGCCGCGTTATTCGAGCGCGTGGTTCAGAGCGTACGCCCACGGTAAATTAGAAACGACGATCTTGGTGGTGTGGAATGCGCATGGTGGAAGCCACTCCATTAGCGTCAGAGTGACGACTAACGTCACCTAACGACATTTTAACCCTCTTATTTTCGGTATCAAACCTAGATCGCCGGAAACGCTTTAGCGTCCCCGAGAAGAACAGACCGCGCCAGAGTAATACCGTCCTAACCTTCTTATCTAACGACTGCCAATTGCGTGCGCTCTGTACTCAACACCAAATAAACTATTCTAGTGACTCCAATAGAACAGTTGCGGGAACTGGCCGTTGACGGCAGCAGCCACGTGGCATCAGCTGCCATCGCATCGCTTGCCTGCCTTTTGCAGCAGGCATTTCGTAACGCCCCACCTTCTCAGGAAGAACGCCGTTATATATGAAAGTCACGTGCCAACTTACCCACGGACGCCCACTTGAGTGCGTCGTTCACATCGAATCATTGTTCGAACGGATTTGCTGACTGGAGTTCGTTTAGCGATCTCTCGATCGCGGAACCATGATAATCGTAATGGTGCGGAGTGAACATCGTTGGTAGCGTCGTGAGTGTAAAGCACGCGAACCTGCTCAACAACAACGCGGTGAACGGACTGCCTGTGACTTTTACGATGCAGTGACAGACTTTCTTCCGTGATGGGGAGCGCATAATCTCATATAGTACAAGGATCGCAGGCTGACATATATATCTCATGAAGTAGATGCTCAGGCGATAAAACTCCGCTTCTGGATTTTTACTATAAGAAGGGGAAAAAAATAAAAAGCTACGCCACTGCACGATTATTTGCTGTCATTATTTCATCCGAACACGCGCAATCTGGTTGGCTTGGGCGCAAGAGCTCCTGTTTTGTAAGATCCTTCCTCGAAGGGATAGGTTCGTCGGAACCCTTTGAACCACAGCTCTGCGGCCCGAAAGGTCGCCCAACTTTCCAAGGGTATACAGCGGGGTTATGGCGAACGCGTGCGCAAGATTGTTGCGCCGGCAACTCATGACCGTCGACTGACCGGGCGGACGCAGGCATCTTGATGGAGACCTCTCACGCGTCGAGCACCAGCCGTTCCGTGATGATCTCGGACGCGCTGCGCAAGTACAAGATCGTTCTCGGCTACCTCATCTTCGTCGCCATGCTCGTTGGCGTCTTCCTAGGAAAGGATAGGGTGAGTACCACGCCGCGGTCTTCAACGTCTTCCATGTATTTTGCAGTGTCAATATACATCACGAAGCAAAGGAATCTATGACTGCAAGGACTTTTTTACTGGTTTTTAATTTGCACCGAACCTGAGCGCACTGAACGTAGTAACTTAACCAAACTTTTCTTTTCTCGAATTTCGCTTTATTTTAAAAGTTAGAGGCAAATTAAACTCACAAAAACAAGCAAAAAAATAACCTCCCTCATGACGTCCTTGGACGCTTGAGTGGCCGTGAACTAGAGGAGGGGTAGTGAGCTCAGCGAGCGCTCACGGCTGCCGCACCCCGTCTCGACGGCTCGAGAGGGCGCCACTAAAGCATGTTCTGGAGAGGCTGTATGAAGCGGGCGGCCAGAACGGCTCGCATTGCATTTGCTGCGCGATTAAACACTAATCCAGCATGACACTTCATTGGCCACAAACGACAGCAAACACGGAGTAAAGATCAGAACGAGAGCCACTTCGCGCTGCCATACCGCCAAAGGGCCAAACCGCAAGCCAAAGCTGCTCGTCGAAGGCCTTCGGAACGCTCGGAACCGGTCGGATCCTCGGCTGCAGCGCCGCCGCGTACATTCGGGACCTTTCTACGCTCGCCGCTCGTTAATGCCTGATCCCACTACACCTTTCTAGTATGCGCCGCCCTTTCCACCGCTTGGTGGCGGGTATGTCGACGGGTCATTTCTTGTTTCCGTACTTTATAAACTGCATTTGTTTCTTTTCTGATCTAAAATACTGAACAAAAACTACTTTCATACATAACTGAAACGGTTCGCGACACTTATACTTTGTATCTCGACAAAAAAAAAAGCTTTTAGCTGCTCGGACCAGTAGTAAGCCCAGGACCAAAGACGTCACATATCGCGCGCTTTCGGCGCCGCGGGTCGCCCCCGTAGGTGGAGGAGGTTTCCGCGTCGTCCGGTTAAAATATCACCCACTGATATTTAGTTACTCTCTCCGTGAATGCTGGCTTGCCTCAACTTTAAAAGACGTGGAAGCCGCAAAAAAGGTAGACGCTTAAATATGATTGCAGGGCCCCTTTAAACGGTTTCTGAAGGTATCGAGCTAAGGTTTTGTACAAAGTTGACAGAGAACGTGCATTAAAGGCGCCACGCAACGATATTCGTTTGGAATATTTCACTTTACTCAAGCTTACTGGTACTAGTAGAATTTAAGTATACTCGCATGCAACGAGACTGACCAAGAAACTCCTTCGTTGCGCTGTAATTTCAAGGACAAAAGCGAGCATTTTCTTTCAATCTCTCCTTCGCAAAACTCGATAACGTAGCTGAGGGGTCGCAGTACCCCAATGACGATATTTGAATGCAGCTCATAGATTGAACTCGAGCATTGCGTGCGCACTCGATTTGGGCTCGTGATAATCGATAGCTCGACAAGCATTCGGCTAGTGGTCCGTGTCCAATCGCTGCAATGACGACAAGAGCCGGACAATAGAGAGTTTTAGTAGATCGTTCCCATGACTTCGATACCGATACCCGATACTCCGCCACCGCCTCCCTTGTGCATGTATAGTATCGTTATCGGGAATATCGGAGGTATCGGAACGATCTACTAAAACTCTCTAATATCTGGGACTCGGCGCGTGTGCACCGCTTTGAAACCCCAGCGCTTGGCCATGATCGACAATGGCGGCATATAATCGGCTCCAGATCACGTGGCCTCTTGTTCTGGCTGCGAGTTGAGGGGGTGAACGCTGCTCGTTTTAAGCCTTACTTGTACCATTGTGTGAAAAAGCGGTGTGTAGTATTGCCATAAATATACATTTGAGAGGCACGTGCCGCTCAATCGTATGCTCAAGGACGACGCCGTCCTTGAGGTCCTCCTAGAGGTCGTCCTAGACCTCTGGGGCGACCTTACTTGTCCCATTACGCGAAAAAGCTGCGTCAATGTGCCCGAAAAATGACCACAAAAAAATGAAAGCCGTTTACAACTCCCTGTAACGCCGAATAAGAGCGCAGCTCTTGAGGAGGAGGGAAGGGTACCGAAGGGAAGGTACACCCCTCCTCCCTCCTCCTCACCTCCTTATCCTCCTTCTCCCCTCATTCTTGAATCTCCGGGGAGGGGGTTACGTGACCTCGGGAGGGGGGGTGGAGGAGGTCACGTGACCTCGGGGGGGGGGGGTCACGTGACCTCAGGGGGAGGGGCCACGTGACCTGGGGGGTCACGTGCCCCCCCCCCCCCCCCCCGAGGTCACGTGACCCCAAGGGGGGCTCGCGCGGTGCATTATGGGACGTTTCCCATAATGCACCGCGCGGTTACGCCGACGACGACGCCGCTCAAGCCGGAAACGGGTCTCTAAGAGCTGCGCTCTAAAATATGTCATCAAGCAAGCACCGCTCACGCTCAAGTGCGGGAGCGTGATGCCACCGCTGGAGCACCGTGTGCAAAGCGCTACGAACCTCACCTGTGCTCGCGTTCTGTGCTTAATAATAATTGGGGTTGTGTGGATACAGAGTGTAGTTGATCAGCCATTTCAAAGTTGCGACGAGTCACTGGCTGTAGATGAGCAATTTTGCCAGTGCAGTACAACCGCCAGACTGGGGTCGTTAACGTGCACTACGCAGTAGTGATACACGACCGCACGCCGGTACGACGCTCATCCAGATCGAAAGGGGCAAGGGTGGAGACTGAACGCGTTCTGTGCTGCGTGCGATGGACTGTGAGGCGATTGCGTCTTCATCTACGGCCTCGACATTGGCAGCAGCGTCTACACCTGCGGCGGCTTCTGCAGGCAAACGTGGCCGCCCACGCAAATACGCCAGAGCCTCCTTAAATGTCCTCCTCTACGCGTCATTCTCGACGTCGTCCTCTAGGCGTCCTAGATGTCGTCCTAGAAGTCGTTCTAGACGTCGATCTTAACGACGTCGTCCTCTACAGGACGTCATCCTCGACGTCGTCCTAGACGCCATTCTTGACGTCGTCCTCGACGTCGTCCTTGAGGTTGTCCTCTGCGTCGTCCTAAACGTCGTCCTCGACGCCATCCTAGAGGTTGTTCGAGACGTCGTACTTGGCGTCGATCTTTAGGACTCGCCATCGACGTCATCTTATAGGTCGTCTTAAACTTTAATATGTTTAAGAGGCCCTCGTTGAGGGCATTACATAAGGGGGGGGGGGTATATTACACGAGAGCATAAAACGGCGACAACAACATATGCGAATACATGGGGTGCTGCAAAACAACGTGGCCATGGCCCCGAGCAAGGGGTAACGGTAATACAGAAATTTGTCCAGATACATTGGGAAGAATAATAAGGGAATGAAAACATTACGGTACATGGCAACCAGTAAGCACGAGACAAATAAATAGAACGGCATAGGGGGGATGAAGAGAAATAAAAACAAAGAGCATTGCGAAACGCGTTGAGAAACATTACTCGAAAACATTTCTCCCGCGGGACTATGATGCTTTCGCCTTCCTACACGTAAGCTGTCCTGAGTGTCCTCCTGTAATTTTTCTTCAATTTTAATGCGTCAGCATTAGTGTCCTGGTACATGCGCTGACCTTGGATTAGTTTGGAGAACACATATATAAAGTTTGCAACGTCGCCGGGAATGACGCCACAGCTGGCTTTGGACACTGGCTAGGAAACACTTTCTCCAAGCGCCGACAGATGGCAGCGGGGTGCATATTTCGAGAGGCTTGACGATAGGACGTATAGCAACGGAGGCTGCAGTGGATTGGCTGGTTCTATACACTCTTAAAAAAAAGGGTACTGTAGTACCCTCCTTGAGGGGGGAAACTGACGAGCACACAGGGCAACCCCTTTTGGAGGTAACGTTACCGCCTGCAACGAGGGTGCAAGCTTACCTCCTTGGTTAGGGTGCAACATTGCCTCCTTTTGGAGGTAACCTTAGTTCCTTTTGGTGTTAAAAGTGCATCCTTTCAGGGTCAGCCTTTACCTCCTTTAGGGGGTAATTTCAACCCTTTTGAGAGGTAAGACGACGTAATTGAGGGCGCTGCTTTTACCTTTTTTTGGAGGGAACTATGATCCACTTTGGGGTTAAATGTACACGACGAGGAAAACTGCTAAAAAAACGCGCACTACGAGGAACAAACACGACAGGACAGTGCTGTCCTGTCGGGTTTGTTCTTCGTAGTCCGCGATTTCCGAGCTGTTTTTCCCATCATGTATAACAGCAACCAACTGGCCCAGTTCACCCCCTAATACAGGTTAAATGTACACTTGATGGAATCACTTTTGCCCCCTAAAACAAGGTACTATGGCCCTTTGTGGGTGTGATAGTACATGTTTCAATGGTGGGCCTTACAATAGATGAAGACGGCCTAGTTCTGAAAGTAAATGACAATGTTTTATTGTGGCTGTCACAGACAAAATAGTAAAAATCAATGGCATGACTATACATCTTATAAAAGTTCTAAGATGAAACCACTAAGCGCAATAAAGGCATCTGGAACTACACTTTCGGGGCTCTAGTTCGCGACAGTCAATAAAATTATCACAAAAAGTACATAAACAATCGGTGCCTACCCGGAAAATAACAGTGAATGCTTGGAACACTGCTTAAAATAGCGAAGCTTCACTGGGGTGAACTCAAATGACTGAGTTTTGTACAAACCAGAATCAAAATGAACGCACTGTGATATAAAATAGATTCTTTATCACATATATTGCAAACAGCAATACAAAGCAATACACGACTAGCAATGACTAGTACGTTGCAACTCAAGGAGAGCAGTACACTATGCCCGTCCTATCCACAGTAGTGGAATGAACGCTGGAGTAGAGGAAAGCAGACTCCGGGATTTGCTCTTCCAATGTGGAAAGAAGAAAGGGCTTGTATCTCCTGCTGCTAATGAGCTGTATTTAAACCTTCCAAGCACAAATCAGTGTGAACATGGAACCACAACCCTCGAATGCTTTGAGGCACCAAGTATGAAGTACACTGAAATAAATTAAGTATGCCAATGCTGCACAAAGCAAAAAGCTGTG